GAACAAATTATAAACATTCTCTTCTGGATCCGGACCCGCAATCCTGAAATTTTAGATTCTCAAGTTTTCATTACTGCGATTGGTTTCGGCAATATTTTATTTATCTATCTATCTATCTATCTATCTTTTTAATCCACAAGGAAGACAATAAAACCACTAAGAAGCTAAGGTTATTGAGTGTGAACGAATATGAGACAAACAAAACAGATTATGAGAGAGAGAGAGAGAGAGAGAGAGAGAGAGAGAACAATAAAAGAACAGGAATTAAGAAGACAGTAGATCACGATTAATGTAGGGATATTATAAAGAATATTTTTATGAGTCTTTAAATATATTTGTTTCTAATCTATATAATAAATGCGAATGTATTACACAACTTCATCTTTACTCCTCGAGGCCATAGCCTAACAAATCATGTCAATTTGGAATCAGGCCGACTCGGTGAGAAAATTAAAAAAAGAAACAAAACATTCCAGACCCGCAATTTCTGAAGAACTAGTTATATATTTGGGGTGATGCGATCGTGACGATTGTAACTCATTCCTTCTTGCGTCGTCTTGGCCTTATGAGTCTTGTAGTTGGCGTACAGTCTTCCTTTGCTCAAGTAAAGGAGAGGTTTTAAGGGCAACTGACAACAGAATATTGGTGATTTCAGGTTGCTTGTTTATATTAACAGTCGTCATTAGGGTAGAAGTTGTCATTTCTCAGCAAGGGAAAGAAAGAATGTCCCTCGGGTACTTACGATGGCGCCTGTTTGTGTTGACAGCCATTCGTCGGGATGGGCAGAGAGTTGGTAGAGTGAAGAACTAATCAGTTAGTACGATATTGCAATTGTCCCAAGTGGCACCTACCTTTTGACCCAGATCGAGCAAGCATGAATAAAACACCTAAAATATATTGAAAAAACGGTTTAAATCTTTGTTTCCCATCGCGGCGTTTACTTTCATCTTATGTTTCCTTGTAAGCTTCCCACGGGCCCTTACTGGTTTTTGACGCCCACGTACGCGAACGAGACAACGCAGAGACTTCTTGGCTGGTGTACGGTTTTCCTTACACTCTTTATCCAAAGCCTTATAAACCTCCCCAACAACAACAAAGTCAACAGCATTGACCCTTAAGCCCTGAAGAAAGAAGTGAGAAGGCATGGCATTTTCTTCGTTGCTCTTCTCTCTCAGAGCCATTACAGTTACCGGAAACCTTGTGTATATGACTGTTGGAATGTCTTTCAGGCCTTTCCATAAACATCAGTCATTTCTTCGGATGACCTTTTGGCACTGATCAAGGTTTTTCTCGTCAGAGAAAAACCAAAGCATTCCGGGCTCTTGATGTTTCAACTTAATCAACAAGTGCACTGCGCGTATCAGACGCTTATTTTTTTTTGTCTATGCAGACATGAATTGACCTCTTCGTATCATATATCTGTGTTGCATCTTTTACCTGATTAATATTCTGTGAGTTCAGTCCATGGTATTCTTAGCATCCTTCTGTACAACCACATTTCTGTTTGCTCAAGTTTGTTCTTCATCTATGATTGTCCAGCATTCACTGCCATACAGGAGGACCGATATTAAATAACAGTTAAGTACTCTTTTTTTATTTCTAACGAGATTTTCCTGTTCTTAATAACTCTCAATGTTGTCCCTTATTTGGTTGATTTTGACGTAATACACTTTTCGGGTCCTTTTCTTTTCTGAGGTGTGTCTCTTGACATTTTTTTGTTCGGTTACTTTCGTTGCTGTCTCACGACAGAGTTATTTACTGGTTTAGTTCGAAAAGCAAAATGTATTTTGCTTGGCCATCTTTGAATGTGTATTTTTATATTGTTTTAATCTAAATTTTTATCAATTTGTTCGTGTTAGACTTGAACCCACCTATTCTATAGTTAATAGACTCTCCCACCTATAATAAGTAGGAGTAGTAGCAGTCGCCAGTCGCTCAGCGAGTTGGTCAGAGTTCAGTCTGAAGTCGGACGACCAGCTGACCGGTTGAACTCTCTGCCTTCAGGCAGGGAGGAACCCGAACGAGGCTACGCCGAAAGGCGGAGTCTCTTTCGGGGAGGTAAACCGACCCTGAACCCGTTTATACGGGTTCAATGGGCATATTTTTGGCCGGGCCCACGGGCTCGGAGATCCCACGTTAAACCGGCTTTGTGCCACATGATCCCCTCGTGGGGGGTGGGGGTGACTAAATACTCTCAGCGAGTTGGTCAGTCAGTCGATGTCGGACGACCGTTAGTCGGATACTAAAAGTATCAGCCACCACAACTAGATTGCTGCGTCATTAACTATTATATCAAGTTCCTAACGTTTTGTACGTCGAACCTTTTTAGGGCCGACTTAGTGAAATACAAGCCTCCACTGTAAAACTACTCTATAACAGTTCGGTATTTACTACAAATCCTGAAACCGAATCGTTGTATTGTATTTAATCATACGCACTATATCATTTCTTTGGATTTTAATATTATATTTGATCGATAAAAAACTTTTAGAAATGAAATTGACTATATTTTCTACTTATAAATATAGGAGAATGTCATTATTTATGTGAGATTTATTAAAAAAGAAACATTGAATAAAAATTTTTACGGATAGATTTACCAACGTATTTTATCTAAGCCGTCAAGTTATTTAGCTTTCAAAATAGTTGAAGGAATTAATTTTTAAAACTTTTAATCACTTGACGCAGGCAAAATATCCCGCTGTGTAGATAAGAAAAAAATTTGTTCTAACAGAGCTAGATATTTCACCCACGTGAAGCCATTTATAAATTTTTCAAATCCGAATGACTAAAATTTTTTTTTTTTTTGGCGGGGGATTTAATACGTTATTTAATTTTACAAAACGTGCTTTGTCTTTAAAAAAAAAAATATGAAAGACCTACTTACGTGCCTACCTCCTCAGCCTCAGTCCACAACACAACACCGTGATTAATTGTTAATTACGCAATCTCCCCCAAAACGGTGTTTTATGCGTCATGCCAAGGCTACATACAGGTTTGAATTCAGAGATGTCTTTCTCCTAGACTGGTTACCAACCACGGTTAGAGGTCTCAGTCTGTCTCACTATTTAACCCATAGCTTGTGGCGAGATGGATTCATACCTTACCAAAGAGTATTTGTTATACAGTGTAACCCGGATATAAGAGAAACCCGGATATGAAATAGATTTTCTCTGGTCCCAAATTAGAGCCTGTGTTAATGTATATAAAATAGATCAAACCCGGATATAAGAGACTTCTTCTCTGGTCCAGACTACTCTCTTATATCCGGGTTACAGTATGTATATATATATATATATATATATATATATATATATATATATAAAAGTGAACATAAAGTCAACATGCTATGCGACAGTCTGTTTCATGATTGCAATCGTGGCATGAAATTGACTGTCGCCTGAAACAGACTTCTATGTTCACTTTTATATTTACACACGCTCTATCTCTGATATCGACCACTTTATCCCATAAATATAGCAGACCTTAAGACTATATTTCTTTAGTTATATATATATATATATATATATATATATATATATATATATATATATATATATATAAATATTATATTTGTTTGAATAAAAACAGACCACTTTAAGGTTCCATGTAATAAGTTATTTCACCACAACCCTTTTAAAGGGCATTGGATCATCAGACTTTTACTTCCAAAAGTTAAAATGAAAACTTTTCAACTTTTTGGTTTTTGTGGTGAAATAACTTATTACATGGAACCTTAAAGTGGTCTGTTTTTATTCAAACATATTTGCTCTGAATTTACATTGAGCTCTCTGGATATCATCCTCCTTGGGCCTACCCATACGGATTACCTAGTTTTGCATAAACTATATATATATATATATATATATATATATATATATATATATAGTATTTACATTAGTCGGACTATTGTCCTCATCTTTGTCGCCATATTTGTCACAACGTTTCGGCCGTTGTACGCTCCGGCCTTCTTCAGGTGGTTGGAATTTCGAACTGAACCCTTTATTTCGATCACTGGGGTAGACTGTTCTAATTCCACGTGCCATGCCTTATGTGAAGGGGTTATCAGAGAAAATACAAAGGATCTGCGGTCCGTATAACATCAGGACTACCTTCAAAAGCGTGACAACACTTCGCAGGTATCTCTCACGAGTGAGACCCCCCATAGAGAGGAACATGACTAAAGACTGTGTGTACGCTATCCCATGCAGCTGCGGAAAGGAATATAAAGGAGAGACAGGCCGCCCCCTCAAGGTAAGGCTTCAAGAACACCAGAAAGCTGTAACGCGAGGGGAAGTAGAAAAATCAGGCGTGGCTGACCACATATGGAGAGAGAAGGGAGATAACCGCCCCCCTGTGGGATCATGTTGAGATCATAGACAGGGAACACCATTGGAAAATTCGTAAACTTAAGAAATCAGCGCATATGCTAGGCCACAAAAATCTCCTGAGCCGACCAAGCATAGAAATAAATACAATATGGGAACCAGTAATAAGGAGTGCCAGAGAAAAGCAATGATAACAAAGTTTCAATATGAACTCTGGTAAAGACATGCAATGATAACAGCAAAAATTGCAATATGAGCACTGGTAAAAATGATGCTGAAAACATTAGGTTTATAATACTCAGAAGTTCATACCCAGATGTCCTCAAGGACACATGGCACAGTGGATAAAGGCGTTGGTTAGATCCAGTGACAGACCCAAAGAAGGTGAGTTCAATTAAGGCAGTGGAGAACTTTCAGGGGGAAAATTAGCAGGAGATAACTGATAACTGACATCCATCAAACATGGCACGTGGAACTAGAACAGTCTACCCCAGTGATCGAAATAAAGGGTTCAGTTCCAAATTCCAACCACCTGAAGAAGGCCGGAGCGTACAATGGCCGAAATGTTGTGACAAATGAGGACAATAGTCCGACTAATGTAAATACTGTACATAATACCTCATCTCAGAAATATAGACATATATATATATATAAATGTACCGTATTCCCCGTATGCTAAGACGCACTACAAGTGGTAAGAAGCATTCTATAATTAGCTAGTTGTAATGCTTCAATTCGATCCTGGCTTACAGCAAGCTAAATGTAACACCTCGATCGATCCTGGTTCACAAAACTTCAATTTGATCCTGGTTTGATCAATAGAGTGATCACTTCGATCCTGGCTTGCCTTACCCCACGTTGTGATTATTTTGATTATAAGGAGGAACAGATCGATTCATCGCAGGTATCTTCGTGTTGAGATGGTCCAAGTCGAGCGAAGTCGTACAATAAAATTGGAGAAAAAAAACAGCACACGAAATATATAATAATTACTATCTTTATATCAATTCTGCGTACAAGGGTTCGTTAGTAGTTGTGTTCGCATACAAGTATTTGTCGACCTAACCTTTTCCTAAATCGGGAGCAACAGCTGGTAAGTTTTTGGCTTGCAGAGTTATCGAAATTTGTTTTACTGTTTTGTTAAGTTTGGCTCAAGGCTGAAGGCGGAGGTTCTTTCTTTTTTTGTCAGGAAGTGTGGAATCTCTCAGCGACCTCCGTCGCTTCCCTTCTCAACTCTCTCTCTCTCTCTCTGAACTCAACTCCAACTCAACTGTCCGAATGGCTTTCGCGCATTCATTTTTATGGACTCCAACTAGAAACCGGTGCGGGGCAAGATGTAGGCTGGGTTTCAATGAATCCCTTGATTTCCAACAAAAGTCTGTTATCTTTGGTCTCGAGAAATCTAATTAGTTCATAATTTGGGGAAATTCTCCCTCTCTCGTGTGGGGTGGTTGCAGACATCGCTCCGCCCGGCTGCACCCACCCTCTCTTAGCACCATCTCTCACTATTGCTCACCAGTGGGCGTGAGCAGCCGCTCAACCTCCTGTGCCTGCTACCCTACAGTGGGTGCAGACTACCCCTCTTCCTTCCTTGATCACTCTTCTGTGCCTGTCACCTCCAAAATTCGGTCGGAGATTGATTAAAAAAATATGGTTTTAAATGTACTTTTCTCATAAGTGAATTGACACTACATTTGGCTCTCTCACCTTTGACCCAAGAGACACTTTCCCAGGGAAATTTTTAGTGCTCAGCTACAGGTGTTCAATTCATTGTTTTTTTTTTTCTTCATTCTGATATCTCGTGAAATGAATTCATTTAGCTTTAACTCAATTCTTCTCTTGTCAGATTCAGGCATTAGTTATCACCGGCTGTCAACAGCTTTTTTGTTCGCACAAACTGAGAATGGCTTTCAAGCGGACATTTAGTTCATTGTACATATTTCGATTCTCTGGGAACAATTCTTACTATCAGCCTATTTTTCTGATATTGGTTAACCCTTTTCATGCTAAGTTATTCATTATTATCTCCATTTCCATTTTGATTATTAATTACCAGCAACCTAAATAGTGTTACTAGGTATTTGGGGGAAAATGAGTATTTAATAGCTTACGTACTATCAAGTCAAAGTCGCCGACTCTACCTTGTTATTTTCATTACAGTGACAACACATTATCACGTTTTGGATCTGTTATTAAATATTTGAGGTTATTATTAAATAGATTTTCAATAGTTTAGCACAATGTTAAAACTATTCACACCAGAAAGAACTCGCACTTGCGTCCACAGGCCAAATGTCATCTCAGCACACAGCGTGTTTACATCTAACTCCCAGCTGTTGTTTCAGGGATGCGTTCAAGAGCGCAAACGGTGTGTTGCTTTGGCATCGTTCCTATCACAGTACGCTATTACGGTGTATGATTATATTATCGACTATCCATCTGTATTATTACAGTAATTAACTAATTTATCAAAACAGGGAATGTAATAAATTCAGTACGTTTGTACACAGAGGCGGTGTCAACTGTTTTTTTTTTTTTTTTAAGCATTTCACCCCAAGCAAGGCGGGGAGCCACTAGGACGCAAGGGGTTACAGAAAATAGGAAGATCAGATAGGAGTGATAGAAGAAAGGATGAGGGTAGTAGATAGATTAAGGCAACTGGAGATGTCGATTGACATTACACTTGAATAGCTGGAGATTATAGCTCTTAGGGAAACAGGAGAAGGGAAGAGAGTTCCACAGGCGAGAGGTGCGAGACATGAAGCTATTAGAGTAGAAGAGACGGCTACATTTAGGAGTTTCGACAGTGAAGGGGTGAGAGCGGGATGCCAGCCTCGTAGGGCGCTTGAACTCATTATTTTCGGTTATGAATTACGTGGCTGGGGTTGAGGTTTATGAAGATACCGTACCGTATGCCTCGAGGAACGAAAGACTTACATTGCCGATAAGAAGCTAATTACTGGTTATCATCAACACTCGACAAAAAAAAATATAGGACCTCAAATCAGTGGTTAACTGGGGCAAGAAATGACTTAACCACCATAGAGAATCTTCCATGCATGGTTGATGCTTGACTCCGGGAGATCGTCTCATTGCGCCTTCTTGGCCTCACGTTTTTGACTGACTTGAGGTGGAACATCTACATTGAATCAATAACTGCATCTACTGCAAGGAAAGTTGGCTCTCTGTGTCATGCCATATGGATTTTCTCGTCAGAGTCCATCTTACACATCTACAAATCTATCATTTGTCCGTGCATTGAAAACTGCTGTCATATCTGGTTTGGTGCCCCTGCCGTTTATTTCGAGGTTCTTGACAACATCCAAAGAAGGATCTGAAAATGTAATCGATCCTGGTCTGGCATCTCGACTCCAGTCACTTTCACACAGACGTGATGTGGCTTCCCTCTGTCTTTTCTACAAATATTTTTTATGGCAACTCCCTCTGACGAGCTTTTTTCCCTGGTGCCCCGACTATATGAATTTAAGCGTGCTACTAGATTGGTATTGAAAGAGTTAAATGTAACCGCCACTTCTCTTCCAGCAGTTTCTTTTCACACACTTCTAGACTGTGGAACACCCTTCTGTTTACTTGCTCCCCTGATAACTACGATCTTCAAAAATTTAAATGCAGCGTCAACCGCCATCTTCTGTTGTCTTGGACCCTGTTCATCTTTTATCCTTTTCTCAGTCCCTCCCTCTATCCAGTCTTGTCTTTCAGTTTTACTCTCTGTAAATTCCTACGTACGAGTGGAACTCCCGCATATCTCTATATATGCATACATATATATATGTATACATATGTAAATATATACACACACATACATATATATATATATATATATATATATATATATATATATATATATATACATATGCATGCATACATATATATATATATATATACATATATATACATACATACATATATACGTATATATACATATATATATATATATACATATATATATATACACATACATACACATATATATATACATACCCACATATATATATATATATACATATATATATACATAGATGCATAGACACACATATATATACATACATGCATATACATACATACATATATAAATACATATATATATATACGTATATATATATATATACACATACATACATATATATATATACATAGATGCACACATATATATATATATACATATATACAAACACGCACGCACGCACACACACACACACACACACACACACACACATATATATATATATATATATATATATATATATATATATATATATATATATATATATATATATATCATCCTGCTCTCACCCTTTCACTGTCGAAACTACTAAATGTAGCCGTCTCTTCTACCCCAATAGCTTCATGTCTCGCACCTTGGGCCCCACTCTATTCCTTATCTACATAAACGACCTTCCCGACGCCATAAATTCCCAGTTGGCATCTACGCGGATGACACCACAATTTATTCCTGCCACAAAAACAAATCTAGTGTCGCTGACAAAAATAACCTGGCTGTGCGTCTCGAAAAGGACCTCCAATCGGTTGTGAACTGGGTCAGGGAATATATATATATATATATATATATATATATATATATATATATATATATATATATATATATATATATATATATATCTTCCTCTTTTAGACAGAGCATTATCATTTAATGTCTAGAAAGGTATCAGACTTTTTCTTTTCATGTAATCTCTCGTTTTCCTTTTTTGTTTTTTCTCTTTGATTTATTGGATTCATTTCTTTCCTCTCACTTGGCAATCTTTACCTTGCTAATAATTCGGTTATATATATATATATATATTATTATTATTTTAGATATTTTTGTTATTATTATTTTATTTTATTATTATTATTTTATTTTAGATATTTTGTTCTAATATCTAAAATAATATCACATACACACACACACACACACACACACACACAAATGAATATGCTTATAAAGCTGCGTAAATTTCAAGATTAGTCATTCCAAAAATTTCGCTTGATGATGAATCAGAGCTTGATACTTTAATTCAATTTAATTTTAATATTTATTTTGAAGTTTTTGGCTCCTCTTTTTGAAACATGAGAACTCTTATGTAGCGAAGGAATCATATTTTTAAAAAATAATTATAATTTAGGCTCTACTTATGTATTGAGCACTGTTTTTTTTTAAAAATAAAAACAAAAATACTAAAGAAGTTTGGATTATTTACCTAACGTGTTCTATATTATGTTTCTATATATTTGCACACACACACACACACACACACACACACACACACACACACACACACACACACACACACATATTGGTAGGTTTATCTGTTTCTTTAGGTTTAATTATATATATATATATATAAAGTCTAAAGGAAAAATTATCTTTATCTTTATTCATAATTGTCCTTTTACAGTTATATTTTTATTTATATCAGAAAAATTTACACACACACACACACACACATATATATATATATATATATATATATATATATATATATATAGTATTCTCTGATTATTCTGGCCCAGAATTAGATGATATTGTTGCAGGCATTTTGCGTTAAATCTGGCAGAATTCTCAGTGATGCCCGGACATTCGGTTAAAGAATTAGCTTCTCCAAGAATGTTGTTTGAAATCGGTTATTTCAAGACAAGGGCAAAGGAATTTATTATTCATTCGTCCTGCTGACAAAATCGCAACTTCATATTCTGTCTCACGTTCGTTGCGCCTAGTAAAACGGATAAAGTGTCTTTTTCTTTTTCTTATTTTAGCTGGATTTATTCAGAGATAACGTTTTGTTCAAGAATATCAATAATAATAAAAAAAGATAAGACAAAACTGAGAGACGTGGTAGCCATGTCGGAAGCGTTGGCCTGGCAACGAAGAACAAAGCAAATTTAACTGGAGAATAAAAAAGATAAAAACTCTAATTTCTTAAAGACTTTATATTAAACTATTTATATAATAATGTGGTTCTCTTATTAATACCTACCTTAATTGATTTCCGCTGGGAGGCATTTTCGGTGTAATGAATTCTTCTTTATGTGTTGCCCCCTCAGTACGTTAGTGATCATGGCTCTCCACAATTTCCTACCCGTTGTAGTTCTTAATAAACTTTCCCTTTCTGTTATTTCTCCTAAGCTCTGTTCCATCATCCATTTACACAAGCTCACTATGTAATGCATTGTTTTTCTCCGTCACCTCTTGCCTTCAATCTGTCCTGCGAGTATCAGATTTTCCAAGCCCTCCGTTCTCATTATATGCCCTAGAAACATCAACTGTCTCTTTCTGATATTAAGTATTGGTTTCCTTTTTGTTTCCATTTTCTTCAAATCTTCGTCTTTGCTCACAAGTTCAGTCCACGGTATCCTTAGCATCCTTCTGTAGAACCACATTTCTGTTGATTCAAGTCTCCTTTTCATCTGTGACTAAATAAACTGCAATAAAGTTCTAGAAAAAGTGTAGCCATGCTCAAGTAGTCCAGACCAAAATGGAAAGCGAATAAATTGGATCCTAGGAGTTCTGGAAGATCTCTAAATCAAACTCTGAATAGAGGTCGACTGTTATAAATCAGTACCTAAATGACCCCGAGATTATCTTATCCTGGTCGGACAAGTTGCCTCAAACTTAACGTTAGATGATAAAGGCCACCCTCTTCCCGACTTCCCCCGTTCAAACGTGTCCAGAATTATAACAGAGTGCGTTTCATGCGCATTTACAAAATAATTCGCAACTATCAATTACATTTTTTTTGTCTTAGCTATTCTTCCCTGAATTCGAGAGGACTAAAAAAAATAAGTAGGCATATGATGTCCAGATTATTCAACCAAACATGCTTGAATGAAGATATTCTGCCTAAATATATATACCGGTCGTAACAGCAAAACTGTCCAAATCGTTTAACAGCAAAAATGTCCAATTGTTAGATTAAACTTTGAACCGTTGTATCTTAGAAATCTTTACTGGAAATGATTAAAAATATCTTACTGGAATACTCCAAGGTTTTTATAACACTATTAGACTCTACTTTGGACAATAAAAATGTATTTAATAAGTTGAAAAGATGAGCTCTCTTGCTGTTTTGACCTCCTGATCCAATTTTCCTCATTACTGTTTCCCTTTTTTAAAACTTATTCACTGTCTTGTTGTTTCTTGAATGAACACTGAAGATGAAAGCGTGAGTATGAATGTTGGTAACATTACTGAAGGTCTGAATGATCTTTTTTCCTCTCACCATTGTTCAGTTCGGATGACATAATGTGGCTGACAGAAAATGGTTTTAACCTCTTCTTTTTTTAGCTGAATTACTCAAAGGGTTTTTCATTGATTCTTTCGACAAATGGCGTTACGATGGCTAAACGTCTTATCTGAAAACTGGGGAAAAATTAACTCAATTAGTTTAGTGCTTTTTTAGATATCAAACATTTATATTTGTGTGTATATATATATATATATATGTGTGTGTGTGTGTGTGTGTGTGTGTGTGTGTGTGTGTGTGTGTGTGTGTGAAAATATATAGAAAATAGGAAGGAACTGGTTAGGTAAATAATCCAAAGTCCCTTAGTATTTTAGTTAATATTTTTAAAAATAGTGCTCGATACAAAAGTAGAGCATAAATATAATTATTTATTTAAAAATTTATAATTATTTATTTAAAAATATGATTCCAAAGCATTTTGGAATCATATTTTAAATAAATAATTATATATATATATATATATATATATATATATATATATATAATGCATGTTTCATTAAATAATATAGACAGGTTTTGTCTATTTATTTTATGCAAATTCCTTTCATATCGTCTGATAATCTTAATAACATTATCATTGAAAGACGAAAGAAAATCACCATATTGATACATGCTTTTTTATCTAAGTTTTCGGCTTACATACGCCATCATCAGAGATGACAAGTACATTACAATAAATTAAACAATACACGGACATAGCAACAATGATAGTCTGTTTTTGTTTACATGGAATATTTCTAAGCAACGACAAATTCGTGCATATAAGATTCTGGAAACGAAAATCGCACCGCGGCTCATGACATCACACATGACCACGCGAGAGTGAAAAACGAGACGTGTTAAGTATGGGAAGCCGTTGGTATAAACCAATGGCTTCTTTTATCAATTATAGGCATTTAAGAATATTTGTGGAGATTTCATAGTTTATTTTGTTCAGGTTAGGTTTCAACTGTTTTATGTATAAAGCTTCAAGAATTTTTAGTTTTTGTTTATTGTTTTCATGTTTAAGTATAGTTGTGTTTTCAACATGGATTTTCCGGAATTGTGTACGCGGCCAGGCATGTTGTTTTAAATGTCTAAAAATGTTAGAGTTATCATTTAAATGTAGTGTCAAGCATCGTGAAAGCGAGTTTGTGGTGTGATCAACATAAATATTATTTAACCCATTGGAGATACAATCTCCCAAAGGGCACTTGAATTTGTTAACTATGTTGTTGTTTTGCAAATCACTAACGGGCAGTGGGGAAGCATCATTGCGAATAATTGAGTTGGATATGCTAGATTTAGTGTACTATATGATTAACCTAATTTTTTTTGCTAGGATCTGTTGTAGGTATATTAGTATTTACTAATTTTTTAGTATATTTTCATCTTGTTTATAATTAGTATGCATTTGACTGCAATATAGGAGATTAATATGTTTGGGATTAGTTGAAGAAGTATTATGTTCTATTTGCTCAGTATTAAGACTTCTAAGAAAGCATCTTATTTGTTCATCAACTATATAGTTTGGAAAGCTATTGTATATATATATATATATATATATATATATATATATATATATATATATATTTTGATGACTCATGAAAGGTCTTCGTCTCTAGGCCGGATGTTTTCAAGACATAGGCGATCATGGCTCTCCACAAATTTCTATTTTAATGCGACTCTTTGCATTTTTTCTCGCTTTTTCCTGCCATTCATTCACACAAGTTCATCAGTTAAGTAGTTCACTGCCCTCCCCTATCTCTCGTGTCCTCAATATGTTTCCAAGAGGATTAAGTTTTCAAAACCCTCTTTCCTCATTATGTATCCAAGGAATTTCAGCTATCTCTTCCTGATTCTGAGTATAACTGGTCTTTTTTGTTGCTGTTTTCGTTAAAATGTCCTCGTTGCTTACTCAATAGACTTCACCGTATCCTTCTGTAGAACCATATTTCTGCCGCTTCTAGTTTTTTTCCCCCATCCTTAGGGAAATTATTCGACTTTCGCTGCCATATAAGAGGATGGATATCACATAGCAATCCAGCATTCTTTTCTTTGTTTCTAACTGTTGTGGATTCCGAGATGAATTCGGTCTCCAAGGAATGACAAACGCAATAATTAAATATAAGAAAAAATGTATTTACACAATCATACAAAGAGTAATACTGTTAGTAAGTCCAGGAACGCGGTTAGTAGCAAATACAGATAGATATATACCGTCTGGAAGTAGGACTTCCTTTGAGTCTACGTGCTTGTAAGTGACTTCTACAAGAGGTTACCTCACACTATCTCCGTTCGTATGTTCTCTCTCTCTCTCTCTCCGTATATCCTCTCTCACTGACTGTCTTAACTCTGGGTATTTAACGGCAGCACTCAAAGTAACACTGGTAGAGTCCACTTATATGAATAAGGGGAGGACCCCATAACACTAACGAAATGTTTCCGTTTGTCAGCACATTGCTTAGCTTTTGGAATTTCTTCTGCTAGCCCAACGCGTCTTCGGATCTCGGTGTCGCATTTTTCCATCCTCTGTTAAAGCGCTTCCCAGATATTTGAACTTGTGCACCTGCTTCATATTGATATCCCCAATTCGTAACGCGCATCTTGGACATTTTTTTTCGAGCTGATGACCATACTGTCTTCTTGATGATCTGATTCTAAATTATTGTTAGTACTTTTTTCTCGTTTTCTTCTCCCACCCTACCCCGGGGGGGGGCTGTTGTTTTCTTCCCGCATTAGCCATCAACACAGTATCATCTGCGTATCTTATATTGTTAAGATTATGCCCAGTGATAATAAATCCATTTAGAATCCCCAGTTATCTTACGATAGCATCGCTGTCGAGGTTGAAAACATTTCGGGAGAAGTACGCATTCTTATCTCACGCCCCTTTTTATTTTTATACAGGAACACAATTTATATTCTATCCGTATGCAGGCAGTTTTCTCCCAGCTGATAGTCTTTTCTTCTCTCTTTCTTCTTCTACCCTGTCAAGGAGGTGCTGTGGCGTTCTTTTCGAGCTGGCTATCAACACAGAGCAATTGGCGTGAGAATGCACCCAACGATAATAAACTCTGGTCGGGCCTCCAGCTCGCTTAGGATAGCCGAGCTGTAGAGGTTTGAATAATTTTGGCGGGAAGACACATCTATGTCTCATGCACCTTTCTATTTTTTATGTAGTTCAGTCAGACAGTTATGTGCCATGCGTGATACACGCTTAGGCGATCATGTATCTTTCGATACATGACTGACAAGGCAGATATTTTCCCGCAGTAGGTTACCATTTCTTTCTGCAGTAGACTAGTTGCAATCCAAGGCTATAGAACCCGGTCTGTCCAGTAACTTACCCATAGCTGGGGGGAGGGGAGGAAGAGGATTAATATTTGAATTCAGTCAGTTATGTGACATGCGTGATACACGCTTAAGCGATCATGTATCTTTCGATACATAACTGACGAGGCAGATTTTTTTTACCGCAGTAGGTTGCCATTTTTTTCTGCGGTAGACCAGTTGCCATCCAAGGCTATAGAACCCGATCTGTCCTGCCATTTACCCATAGCTGTGGGGGGTAGAAGAGAAAAGGATTCATACCTTTCCCAAGGGTATTAGCATGTAAGTGAATGTAATAGATTCAACTGTGTAGTTACTTAATTCATTTTATGCATGCAGTTTGCACGAAGTCGTTTTTTTCTAACATCTTTTCCAACTAGATAGAAGTTTCCCACCAGTTCAAATAGGTCCTTGTGTAGTACCTTGTCAAATGCCTTTGCGTCATATATAAAAACTTAAGTGTGCACATCTCTTTGCATCTGTATTGCTCTTTCTGATATCATTGTAATCTATCTAAAATATTTTGGACATATACCAGTCCAGCAACACTTCTTGCAGCTTGTAGCTGACAATGCTTCTTTTGACTCTGAAAAGTTAACAGTTAGCCACTTGAAGCTGTTACCGTTCACACGTTAGAACTCGTCTCAAATAGTTCCTAGCCAGTTGTTTTTCAACCAACTTCTAGACTATTTTTCATTAGCAGTCTGCCATTGTAGAATGCAAGCATAGTAGGTGAGTAAATTGTCAAATGGCGAAACCATTTCCTCTGCCATTTGCAGAGTTCCTTTAAAAAGAGACTTATTTCCAAAAATTCATCTTTAGTGATAAAATTTTTCTATTGGATTCCAAATATCTAATTTGGCCAATTTACATTGAACATATCAAATTTCTTCTCCTCGGTAGAGCATTAAAACCATACTCGAGACCTCGAAAGGTTTTAACGCTATTAATTCTCCCGGCAAACCTATTTACTCAAATTACCCCTCCTTCATTTCTCCTTCATTTCTTTCTTTCTTTCTTTCTTTCTTTCTTTCTTATTCCCATTATTTCTTTCTTAAACCCTTTACCGCTCCTTCATTTTTCCTTTCTTTCTCTCTCTATTTTTTTCCTAACATCTTTTCCAACTAGATTGAGGTTTCCCAGCATTTCAAATAGCTCCTTGTGCAATAGCTTGTCAAATGCCTTTGCGTCATCTATAAAAAAAACTTAAGTGTGTACATCTCTTTGCATCTGTATTGCTCTTTCTGATATCATTGTAATCATGATTATCGCATGTCTTGTTCCGGTGACCTTGACAAAGCTGCGTTGTTCTTGTACTATTTCCGCTCTAATACTGCTTTGCAATTTATTCATCAGGATTCGCTTCATTAGTTTGGTTATGTGGCTCATTAAACTGATTGTCTAATAGGAGTTCGCATTCATTAAGTAATCCTTAATAAATTGGCCATGCACAAAATCGACAAAACAGCCGTCTATCTATCTATCTATCTATCTATCTATCTATCTCAATCTCATTATATCTGTATATCTCGGTCTGTTCACATCTATCTATCTATCTATCTATCTATCTAGTTCTGTTCACAACTATTTATCTATCTCAATCTCTTCATATCTGTCTATCTTGGTCTGTTCATATCTATCTATCTATCTATCTATCTATCTATCTATCCCAATTTTTTCACATCTATCTTCTTCAATCTCTTCACATCTATCTATCTATCTCAATTTCTTCACATCTATTTTCTTCAATCTCTTCACATCTATCTATCTATCTATCTATCTATCTATCTATCTATCTATCTATCTATCTATCTCAGTCTCTTCATATTCGACTATCTCAGTCTGTTCATATCTATCTATCTATCTATCTATCTATCTATCTATCTATCTATCTATCTATCCCAATTTCTTCACATCTATTTTCTTCAATCTCTTCACATATATCTATCTATCTATCTATCCCAATTTTTTCACATCTATTTTCTTCAATCTCTTCACATCTATCTATCTATCTATCTATCTATCTATCTATCTATCTATCTATCTATCTATCTATCTCACCCTGTTCATTTATTTATTTATTTATTTATTTGAAAATCTCCCAGTCGTGGACAGCAATCAATATCTGTTCATTACTGTAGCACACACTGATAAGGATCATATTTGATGCTACTATAGTATAATTTCTATTATGATATGATAGTTACCAGCTATTAGGGACAGGGTTAAAGGCAGTGAACTGATTATGTATTAAAATTCATTTACAATTTTTTTATAAAAAAAAAATCATTAAATAGTGTTTTAGTGTTTGTAAACTGATTTGATGTCATTAAAAAAAAAAAAATAACAATAAACAGGTCATCGTTTTTCCCGGCCATTTTCCAGCAATAATGATTGCATCGCCATTTATGGTAGGTTGCAAATGCCTCGGTAGATATCATACTCCATTGTAACACTTCTTATTTTTCCAGCCACGATTGTGAGTCAAAATGAGTTTAAAGCAATACAGAATGTGAATCTGTTTTTGATTTGTTGTTGTTTTTACAGCTTATCAACCCATTGCATGTTATTTAAAGCCGGGATATATTTTAGATTGTAAGAAGAATTTCTTCTTCTTTTTTACAGCTTATCAACCCATTGTAAGTTATTTAAAGCCGAGATATATTTTGGATTGTAACAATAATTTCTTCTTCTTTACGGCTTATCAACTCATTGTAGGTTATTTAAAGCCGGTATATATTTTGGATTATAACAATAATTTCTTCTTCTTCTTTACAGCTTATCAACCCTTTGTAGTTTATTTAATTCAGAAACATATTTTGGATTGTAAGAATAAATTTTCCTTTTTTTTTCTTTTGAAAATGATTATTGTATTTTTGTCTGAATTTCTGGTATGAGCAGATCATTATTTACACTATTTATATTCGGTCTGTTATCCTAATCTTTGTTTCTGTTTTTGCAATGTTTCAGCATGACGAAGGCCAGAAGGCACAACGGCCAAAAAATTGTGAGGCAACAACAAAGATAGGGACTGTAGTTTGAACAGAAATATTGCAAATTATGATTATTGCATTAAAAATTATTTTGAACTTCATACCTTTCTCAAAGTTATTTTTACAATGCTGTTCATTCTGCACAGGACCCAAGAGCCACTTGAGGTCGATGGTTAGAGAATAACAGTCACCATCCCAGACAAAGTGGTAATGGCACCAAGATGCAAAAGTCCACTGGAAGTGAAAGAAAAGGAAAAGACTTTTCAAGGAACTGTCAGGTAAGTGAATGTAATGAAGCTGATTGGAAGTTGAACTTAGCTCATTTTCATCCCAAAAAGCACCACTTATTTCCAAACAGACATCCATCTAAGTAATGACCAGGTCTGACATTGCTTAACACTGGTGATCAGATGAGAGCCAGTGTTTCAATGTGATATAGCCAGAAGCCCATTATATCACTCGTATATCAAAGCTTACAGCACCTGGTATTCGAAAGCAGTCACCCATCTACATACTGACCAGACTCGACATTGCTTAACATTGGTGATTGAACGAGAGCCAGTGTTTCAATGTGAAATAGTCAAATGCACATTATAGCACCTGTATATTGAAACTTACAGCACTGGTATTCCAAAGCAGTCACCCATCTACGTACTGACCAGGTCTGACATTGCTTAACACTGGTGATCAGATGAGAGCCAGTGTTTCAATGTGATATAGCCAGAAGCCCATTATATCATTCGTATATCGAAGCTTACAGCACCTGGTATTCCAAAGCAGTCACCCATCTACGTACTGACCAGACTCGACATTGCTTAACAATGGTGATCGGATGAGAGCCAGTGTTTCAATGTGAAATAGTCAAATGCCAATTATATCACCTGTATATTGAAGCTTACAGCACCTGGTATTCCAAAGCAGTCACCCATCTACATACTGACCAGGCACATCATTGCTTAACATTTGTGATCGGATGAGAGAGTGTGTTTTATTGTGATTTAGCTAGAAGCCCATTATAAAACCCGTATATCGAAGCTTACAGCACTGGTATTCCAAAGCAGTCACCCATCAACGTACTGATCAGGCTCGATATTGCTTAACATTTGTGATCAGATGAGAGACAGTGTTTCATTGTGATTTAGCTAGAAGCCCATTTGTTGTGTCGGAAACCTACCACCCCTCTTGAAGATGAACTTGTCTGCAAACAAAGACTTTAAATAGTGGCATGTCAGAGAGACAGAGAAGTTCTTAGCTGATCTAGTTATTGCCTACTCAGGCGATTTCTGTACCTTTTTACCAACCTATTAAAACCCTTTTTATTGTTACGTGTTATTTGGCGTTTGTCTCTACTAACCCCAAATCAACATCATAACACCATTATATCACCTGTATATCGAAGCTTACAGCACCTGGTATTCCAAAGCAGTCACCCATCTACATACTGACAAGACTCGACATTGCTTAACATTTCTTGTTGGATGAGAGCCTGTGTTTCAATGTGATATGGCCATAAACCCATTATATCAAATCCTGGTAGGACGTCTAGTTCACTTAAGACTGCTTCACTCTTTGTGCGAATTGTTGATATAAAAAGACAAAATTCAGTAAAAGTTGAAACAAATGAAAAACTTGTGCAGTAATTTAATAGTTTTATTTTTCTTTCGACGTATTCGTGAACATTTCATTCTTTGACTAACTTTATTTGAATTTCGCACAAAATGTGGCACAAAATGTCACACAAAATGTTGCACAAAATGTCACACTTTATAACAAAATAAAAGCAATGTACAGAAAAACTGAATTATCAAAACAAAAGCAAAATATAGTAAATAATAATAATTTTGATAATAGTAATTAATTTGATAAAAATAATAATTTGATAAGAACAATTAATTTGATAATAATAGTAATAACACATTTGATAATAGTAATTAATTTATTAATAATTTTTCAAAATGGTAATTTGATTACAGTAATTTTAATAATAGTAATTTGTTTGATAATAATAATTGTCTTAAGGATAATTTTATTATAATAATTTTATAGTAATATTTAAGTAAAATAATTTTGAGAATAGTAACTAATTTGATCATAATAATGATAATTTGATAACAGTAATTTGATAGTAATTAAAATTTTGATAACAGAAATTAATTTGTTAAAAATAATTTTAATAATTGTAATTAATTTGATAATAAAGCAGTTTTGATAATAATAGTTAATTTGGTAATAATAATTTTGATAATAATAATTAATTTAATAACACTAATTTTGATAGAGGTAATAATAATAATAAACTGAGTTATTAATATAAATGAGGAAATGAAATAAAAAATATTAAAAAACGTTTAGTATATTGCTACACATATATATATATATATATATATATATATATATATATATATATATATATATATATATATAACGGTATATAACTTTTTATATATTAAAAACAATTTTAGATAAAAGAAATATGACAAAGTGGAAAAAGTTTTGTGTGATGCATTTCGACCTTTAGGACTTCATCAGACCATGGTTGTGTTTTTGTTGATGAAACTATACATGTGTATGAATGGGAGATGCTGGGAATTTTAAATGTAAAAATAATTTTTATTCATTTTTCTTTAAATATGTGTTTTAGGCATTAAATCTTGCGGATTTCATTAAGATTCTTTCAATTTTGAAAACATGAACGAAAAGGAATGGAAATCAGATTTTATACCTCAAACTCATATTTAAAAAAACAAAAAACAAAGAACAATTTTAAATTTAAACTTCTCAGTGTCTCTCTAGATTCGTACGCGTAAGCATAGAGTTAGTCCTAAAGAACGAAACGTATTACACAAAATTCTTTTCCCACTGTCGTACTTCTTTCTCCTAGGTGAAAAAATATATTTATATATAATATTATCATATTACCTAGTGATATGTTCATTATTTTGAATAAATAAAGAAAATAATAACAAGATGAAGAATTAGTGAATATTGATAACAAAAAAATAAAGATCCTTATTAAATAATAAAAATAGTATTGTATAACATAATTACTATTATCAAAAATATAATCATTGACTCTAAATTTGCATATTAGAAAAATATATGCTTAACAGTGAAACATAATAATACAGAAATGAAAGCAATATATATTTGCTGTTATAATAGTCTAAATTAAAATACTTTATTAATATTATAAAGAAACACAAGTAAAGATCATGCAAAAATATGAAATAAGGATTAATAATATGATTTATAAAAAATTACATAATAATTAAAGATTGTTAAAAATATAACAATAATAATAGTAATAATAATAAAATTATCACATATAAATAAAAATATTAATAAAATATAAATGATAGTAACAATAAGCTTAAAAAGTAATGATATCAATATCACTTAATAGAATATCAGTAATAAAAGTGTTAAAAATAACAACTTGATAATAATAAGAATAATAAAATTATTTTATAAATAATAATGGTAAAAGCCATATGGATACAATGAAATTGTTTATAAAATAATAGCAATAGTATTAAATTTATTATGTCAATAATAATAATAATAATAATAATAGACAGAATAATTTAAATAACTCTTCGAATATTTTGCAACACTTAGAGAAGAGCACAATTTAAGAAAAGTACAAAAGAAAAGACACCATGTTTAACAATGTTTTACAATATTTCGACAGTGTGTCTGTCTTCTTCAGTTTAAGTTTAAAAATAATAATGTTTGGTTAAAGACTGCATTTTTTAATATTTTTATAGTTGTATGCAATTTTGAAACATAACAAAAAGAAGATAGACATACTGTCAAAACACTGAAATATTGTTAAACATTATTAAACACCATGTGTTTTCTTCAGTGTAATAATAATAATAATAATAATAATAATAATACCAGCAGTAATAATAAAAAATAAAATAAGAATGAATTATAATTAAAAATCATAATATTCAAATGAATTTTATATTATTAAAATAATATTATGATGGTAGATTAATATTAAAAACATAATATTAATAATGCTAAAATCAATTCTAAAATATCTTTTTATATATAATAATGAAAATAATAATTACCAAAATAACTCTATCAACCAGCATTAGAAATAATAATAATAATAATATAGCAAAAATACATAATGATAATATAACATTGTTTTGGGAATAAAAAAAAATGTCTTATTTCTGGGTAATGCACAATAACATCTAAACTTAGCAGCAAGACAATTTACAAGATAAGACACCACCTATTCTACTGCACCCCCCCAACCATATTTACATGCACTTAGCCAGCAGTAACACTATGGCTTTTTGGTGCAAAACTCCATCTGTGGAATCTTCTATGGTTAATCATGGAAAGTTCCTCAGTAGCAGCTAAGGGTAAGGCTATTACACCGAAAACTCCATCTGTTACTGCTGCTCCCTCCAAAAACCAGGCAATTTGAGTAAGTCGTAATGAATAGGTTTGCCGGGAGAATTAATAGCGTTAAAACCTTTCGAGGTCTCGAGTATGCTTTCACTGCTCTACCAAGGAGAAGAAATTGGATACGTTCAATGTAAATTGGCCAAATGAGATATTTGGAATCCAATAGAAAAATTTTATCACTAAAGATGAATTTTTGGAAATAAGTCTCTTTTTAAAGGAACTCTGCAACTGTAAGAGGAAATGGTTTCACCATTTGACAATTTACTCACCTACTATGCTTGCATTCTACAATGGCAGACTGCTAATGAAAAATAGTCTAGAAGTTGGTTGAAAAACAACTGGCTAGGAACTATTTGAGACGAGTTCTAACGTGTGAACGGTAACAGCTTCAAGTGGCTAACTGTTAACTTTTCAGAGTCAAAAGAAGCATTGTCAGCTACAAGCTGCAAGAAGTGTTGCTGGACTGGTATATGTCCAAAATATTTTAAGGGAATTTATACGTATATATACATATATATATATATATATACATACATACATACATACATATATATATATATATATATATATATATATATATATATATATATATATATATATATATAATTTATAATTTTAAAATTTCACACGGACTTTATGGACATCCTATGTATATATATATATATATATATATATATATATATATATATATATATATATATATGAGGTGTCTGTAAAGTTCGTGTGCACATTAAAAATTATAACTTTTTTCTTACATTTGCAATAGAAATACTTTGTAAAAAGCATTAGGAAAAAGTTAATCTTTATTTCTTAAGGTTTTATTGAAATTCTATTTAAGTTTCCACATGTCCACCATCATTAGCAATACAAAGAGAAATACGATTTTGCAGTTCACAGAAAACATTTGCCAAACTAGGTACATTAAACTTTATAACATTTTTTACAGATTATTTCTATTGCAAATACAAATAAAGTTATAAATTTTTAAAAAATGCACACGAACTTTATGGACACCGTGTATATGTGTGTGTATAAATATCATTGGAAGGGGTTATTCCAAAGAGGACATTTCACTCCATATATATATATATATTCTTTGGGGAGATGGATTTTGGAATGGTCTAATGAGATATCATGTGCAACTGCTATTGGGAACAAGGCTGAAATAAAAAAAATGTAATATATATATATATATATATATATATATATATATATATATGTAATATATATATGTAATTATATTTCTTTAAAAGTTATATTTACTAGATAAAAATATTTAGGCCGTCTGTTCAAGTCATATGAAATAATGTTGGATATTAAATAAAATTCATTAATTTCTGACTAAGCATACATACATACATACATATATATATATATATATATATATATATATATATACTTCTCAGAAATTTATCCATTTCATATATTTTTTTATATCTATATATATATATATATATATATATATATATATATATATATATATATATATATATACAAATGAAATTTGCATTATCAGCATGAAACAGACTGTCACAAATTACTGTTAACCATAGTAAACCAATTTTATATTTGAATAAATAAGGTCTATTTCTGATATTAAGAAATTTTACTCATAAATATAGCATATCTTAAAACTATATTTTATCATATATATATATATATATATATATATATATATATATATATATATATATATATATA